AGATGCTGTCCAATATTGATACCCAATACCAATACTGTGACCGTTATATTCTACATCTATAATCACAGTGTGTATATATTCATGTTTTAATGTCCATATTCTTATTCATTCTGATTCATTCCTATAGTAGATTACATGGTAAACATTATATGCATCAGTACAGTGACTTTGAAAATGAGAAGCGCAGAGGAAATCATCTTAGTAGCTGAGGTCACGGATTAACCCTTGGTTTATGTATCTTGATGTGTGACTAAAGGAATTTGTGGAATATTTTTCCAGTCAGTTCATGATGAGACATTTTTAGCAGATGATGTTGAGAAAAACTTTAGGCCTTCATACAATTTTGAAAGTTTCAGTTCTGGATGACATGTCGCCTGGAGAGTTTTAAGCTTTACTTTAAAGAAGACATATTATGCCCCTTTTTACAATATGTAATATAAGTCTCTGGCGTCCCCAGAATGTGTCTGTGATGTTTCAGTTCAAAATACTCCACAGATCATTTATTATATAATTTTGAAAATGCCTATTTTGAGTGGCAGCAGAAACAGGCTGTTTTTCGGGCCTGTCTCATTAAATGCAAATGAGCTGCTGCTCCCCGCCCCCTTTTCCAGAATAGAGCTGCGCCATTACAGCTCGGACCTGCTAAAAAAACATCTGTTTTGGTTCTGATTATCATGTTTATCTTACCAAAACAAAGTGATTGGTTTAATCTTTTTCACGTATACTTGGTTGGTAGATGCACCGTGGACCTGATTATAGCACTTAAAACCTGGTTAAAGTCAGATTTTCATGATATATCACCTTTAAAATTTAGTCAAAACACAACTGTGTTATTAAAGCATCTAACCTACTAAAAAAAAAAAAAACCTGTGATCCGAACGTGAGATTATAAAATGGACCTTAAACACAACAGACTGACCCACATTCAAAGCATGAGAGTGGAAAAACAGCATATTTCCATCAACCTGGCGAACAAAGCTTTTCGCAGTGGATGAACTGCTGCTTTCCCATGATTCCTTTGTGCCAGTCCAGCTGAATGCATGCCTACCCACAACCCAGCCACCCGTCTGCCAACATGTGCAGCAGTCAGTGGCTGTTCGGTCTCGGCCTGGCCACTAATCCTCACACTGAACTCATCCTGGCCTGTGGGAAAAAGCTCTAATTGGGGGATTTTCTCCATCATTAACCTTGATGAGCAGCCTTCCCACCCTCCGTTCCCATCCGCGCAATCGCTAATACTTCCTACCTTGATCACTGCATAGTTCAGCCACAGTACTAATATGTTTTTCTATGTATAGCGTTTACAACAGCAAAACAGATGGTAAGGACTGTATATTCCCACAATTCCAATGTCTAATTTAACCTGTTTTCACTAAAACTGATTTTAACATTAGCATTACTACACAAGTGTTCAGAATGATCGTGTGGTTATAGGGTTAATTAGTTTTAGCACATTACTATGTGGTTCCTAGGACATTGCTGTGTGGTAGCAGAAAGTTTATGTAGCATGTTGCTACAATATGTGATTTTAGTTTGTTATTGGTGGTTGCCAAGGTGTTGCTATGCAGCTAAAGTGTTCAGTATGGTTTTTAGCATGTTGCTATGCGGTTGCTAGGTTGTTCTAAGTTAGTTTTGGTACATTACTATGTGGTAGCAGAGTATTTTTTGGTAGAACTACATTATGTGGTTTTGCATTGTTCTTGATGGTTGCCAAGGTGTTGCTATGCATTATCTAAAGTGTTTGGATTGTTATGTTGCTATGTGGTTGCTAGGTTGTTCTAAGTTTCAACAGATGATTCTTACGATGTGGCTATGGGTTATTGTAGAGCTTTTGTAGTATGTTGCTGCAATATGTGATTTTTATGTTGTTCATGTGGTTGGCAAGGTGTTGCTATGCAGTAGTTAAAGTGTTCAATATGGTTTTAGCATGTTGCTATGCTGTTGCCAGGGTGTTCTAAGTTAGTTTCAGTACATTACTATGCGGTTCCTAGGATATTGCCATGTCTTAGCTACAGTAGAGCTACAGTAAATGGTTCTAGGTTTTTCTTGGTGGTTGCCATGGTGTTGCTATGCATTAGCTAAAGTGTTCTGAGTGTTATGTTATGCGGTTGCTAGGTTGTTTTAAGTTAGTTTTGCACATTTCTACATTGTCCTTGGGACATTTCAATGTGATAGCAGAGTGTTTTATTTTTTGTTTTTTTTAGAACTACAGTGTGTTTCTAGGTTGTTCTTGGTGGTTCTTAAGGTGTTGATATCACAGTTGGGGAAAGTTACTTTTAAAAAGTAATGCATTACAATATTGCATTATTCCATAAATATGTGACTAATTGCGTTACTTAGTTACTTTTTATGGAAAGTAACGCATTACGTTACTTGTGTTACTTTTTGTCATCTGGGTTGGGCTTGCTTATTTTATAAGTTATATTTTTAGAAACTGTAAAGGCCCTTTCACACCAAAAGTGAAATTAATAAGCCTCAAGTTAAAGGAAGTGCCTCTATCTCTGCACCTCACTCCTGATTTCTCTCAACATAGGGTCAGGAGAGGTGTCTGTGAATAAATGGGAATATGAAGTAACTTGCGTTACTTATTTGAAAAAGTAACTCAGATTTTTTTTTTGTAAATTTAAAAGTAATGCAATACTTTACTAGTAACTTGAAAAAAAGTAATCTGATTACATAACTCATGTTACTTGTAATGCGTTACCCTCAACACTGGTTGCTATGGATTAGCAAATGTGTTTGAAGTGATTTAAATCAAGTTGCTATGCGGTTGCTAGGGTGGTTGCTTACTATCTTCCCCTTGGCTTCTGTCCCTCCTTAAAGCCTATGGAATTTTTGTCTGTTTATTTCGCCCTCTAAATTTACATGAAAGCATAAATGTAAAATCCAGTCCGCAAGTCCACACCTTCTCCACTTTGGTAATCATCATATGAAACTGTACAACATGAAAGAACCCACGTTCACACCCCTTTGCTCTTTTCCCAGCACATGTTTTTTGGGGCCCCAGATGGCCCCGTAGTGTCCCATCTGTCTGAGAGCATTGCTCACACATCATGAATACAGCCGAGCACCAGGCACTCTGAACATGTGCCTGAACAGCAGCGTCAGGAGGCAATTAGGGAACAGTGGACCCTGGGGCCAATGCCCCCTCCCGGGCCAGGCTGATTGACTGGAACCTCATCTTCCTAACAGGCTGGCTCGGCGCCATGGGTCAGGAGAAACAGAGACAGGAGGGGGTTATGAAATAGACAGTCTTTCCTATAGTTCAACCAGAGACATAGACTTCCAAACAATCTTCCCAGGAATGGATGAGTCAATGGAAAATCTCTGAGAAACTAGATTTGTTTATTCTTAAGAACGTTTGTGGACATTCATTTCTCTGCTTGATTCAAAGGTAATCGTGAAAACGTCTAGGACACATTACAAACATGAGAACCACATTTGTATTTTTGGACAAAAAACATCATACACACATACACTCATTTTAATTACTCATGATTGTCATATTGCTGTCTAACTTTGACTTTGCAATTATTCAAACTGTGCAAGTCATCTAAACATAGATTCAGACTGTAAACTAACATTTGGCCCAAAGGGCCTCATAATAGAACTGTGGGAACAAAAAACAACTGGCTTATACAGTGTAATCAACTGTATGTATTCATAACATCTACAAACATCTACAAACTCTTCACCCTTGACATCCTATATAGCTAATCTTAAAACATTATTAGTAAGCAGAGTTTGTTCAAATGAATAATTCAATCAACCTGAAAGTTTAATACCTTTCCTGACAGGAATCAATATCTAGCTGTCCAGAACGTTATTAGTCAAACACAACTACACATGATTTATTGCTACAAAAACTCTGGCAACACGAACTGAGTGAGTTTCCTTTCGAAAGTAAGCAGCGAATCCCACTTGCGTGTTTGTGGGACATGACATTGGTCCTTTGAAGCCAGGTCTGTTTTGAAGGTTAATTATTCTCGGAGTCATCATAAAATGAGACTTAAAGCACAATGATGGTGTTTTATCTAAAAAAAACCTTCTGATTTTGATTGGTGTCTTAAAGTGACAGTCTCTGACAATCTTTCCCTCTAAAGAAGCTGAAACAAAAAGATCAGACTTTAATCAACTGGCCCAAACAAAGGGGGAGTCATGAAGGGGCGATGGCATAGTTTCCCCTTCTGCTCTTCTGCACGTACAGGAGATGGGTCTGCCAATAAGCATTTGCCTCTAATCAACACTGAGGCGCGCAAACGTTTCCCCCAAAACCAATAATTTCTGTCCCTTGTCCTTGCCTTTGTGATCAAAAAGAGGGGTTTTGATCAAATCAGCTGCCTGTGTAAGAGGTCTTTTCTAACCGCTGACCATATTTATCTTCTGTATCAACCCAAAATATCTGGACCAGTCATTCAGGAGGAAGTGTGAATTTGCAGACAGAGGTTATGTGATGCAAAACATGCCCTCATATTCACATTTCAGTAACTCTGGTTTTAGAAACCACTCCAAAACCAATTAAACCTATTAGGACAGTGAAAGACATAAAACATGCCAATGTGTGCGTTACAAATACATATATGGAACAGATTTTTTTTTCTTCAACAGTTGCTTGGAAGGTTTTTTTTTACATCCAGTTGCAAAAAAATAAATAAATGGCACACAACTCATTTAGCGCCTACATTTCGCTGGCCCAACTTTTTCTGACCTGGAGAATAAGATAACCATCCAATACAAGAAACATGGTTCTTGAGTAGCCTTCAGTACCAATTAGTAACCAAGAAAGCTAAAGAGAGATGTACCCTGTCTTAGCACATGGGTTGCCAGGTTTTGTCCATGGACTGGATGTGTTCCTTAGCTTTCATCCTCAGTGCGGAAATGCTTGAACTGCGCTGATCTACGTCCTCCAGAGGATATTTGTCAGTGAAGGGAGGAGTGCATTGGTATGGAGGTGGCGCCATGGGCTGCATGCTTTGGGCCATGGGTTGGGGTGGGCTAAGACATCCAGTTGCAAAAAAATAAATAAATGGCACACAACTCATTTAGCGCCTACATTTCGCTGGCCCAACTTTTTCTGACCTGGAGAATAAGATAACCATCCAATACAAGAAACATGGTTCTTGAGTAGCCTTCAGTACCAATTAGTAACCAAGAAAGCTAAAGAGAGATGTACCCTGTCTTAGCACATGGGTTGCCAGGTTTTGTCCATGGACTGGATGTGTTCCTTAGCTTTCATCCTCAGTGCGGAAATGCTTGAACTGCGCTGATCTACGTCCTCCAGAGGATATTTGTCAGTGAAGGGAGGAGTGCATTGGTATGGAGGTGGCGCCATGGGCTGCATGCTTTGGGCCATGGGTTGGGGTGGGCTAAGGAAACCGTGATTGGCATAGCCCGCTTGTAGTCCTTGTGTAGGACCCATGAACCCTGGGATGCTGTGCACTGGAGTGGCACTGCATAGAGGGGAGGGCAGCCAAGGGTCAAGGGGCAGCGAATTGTTCATGGGGCCCATGGTGGGGTGCATTGGCAGGCAGTTGAAGGAGAGCATGGGAGAGTCATGGAGCTTCATAGTGCTGGCGTCCATTTTTTCCTGTCGCCTCCATTTGGCTCTGCGATTCTGGAACCAAACCTGGGCAAACACAGATACCTCAAATAATCAATCTGGTATGGCAATCCTAAGCCAGTAAGATGGTGTTTCACAAAAAGCATCTGTGCTATCAAACTACTTGTTTCCCAAACTTACTGGGAAACAACCAACGTTGGATTTAAGTCATGGATGATGTTTAGAAACCCTACTGAAAAGACCAGCTGAGGTTAGCATGAATGCTGGTTAGTGCTGCTTGATCTTTTCGATGAAGCTGCTTGAACAAGGTGGTCTTGCAGAATAAGCTGGTTTTTGTTTAAGGTGGTCAACTAATGTGGCCTTGCTGGTTAAGAAGTTTAAGCAAGCTGGTTTCAGCAATTGGTTGAGCAACCAGGTGAGGAGAAACCAGAACTCCAGCACGGTAGGGATCAGCATACCAGTTCCCGAAACACAACATACACCGGAGAGTGGTTTTATCAACACGGTATGATCTCCTCTGAAACTGATACTTTTAATTTCACAAAGAGATTGAAACACACCTGCACTCGAACCTCAGGGAGGTTGACTTTCATGGCCAGCTCCTCTCGGCTGTAAACGTCAGGGTAGTGGGACTTCTCGAAGGCTCGCTCAAGCTCGTGGAGCTGGTACGTAGTGAAGGTTGTGCGGTTGCGGCGGTGCTTTTTCTTGGGTTGCTCCCCATCGGCCGAGTCCGGAGATTTGCTGTCACTCTCAATGGACTTCCGCAGATCGCCCAACTCCCCGTCACACTTGTTGGAGAATATATCAGCATCTAAAGCCACAGGTGACATAACGTGACAAGTTATAAAGACTTAACTTGAGAGTCCACATTAGACCGACTTTAACATGATGTTTCAACAGAATTGAGCTATGAACATACTGCAAGATTGCAATCCCACTGGAGCAACCTGGGGTTAAGAGTCATATTCAAGGAAACAAAGTTCTTTTGGAATTGAACAAGCAACCTTGCTTATTACCAGTCCTGATTCTTGACCACAAACACCACACAACCATTTCACATTGAAGTAAAATTAAGTAGATGACTAATATGATCTACGGATGGTAAATACGGACTGCATGTAATTCATTATTGATATGGTATTTCTAAAACTGAGATTCTAATCCCATAATACTCTTGGACAAAATCTCTTGTAATAAACAGGCTTGGACTAGAGCAATTTTATTGTCACTGATGGTAGGCATGGCTTTCACTGAGGGTTTCCCATCCCATAATCCAAGCAGAAACAGATGTAGCCTGTTAATTCCCCTGATGGTTTCCCCTTTAGACCAGGCCCTAATCTACCTAAGGGCTTCATTTGATTCTACCTCATGTCCTCAACATAAGGTTATTTTCTAGGAAAAGCTTTAGCTTGGTGAACTGGAGAGACCTACTGGCAGTTGACAAGCTAATTCAGTTAATTCCAGTAAAATACTGGTCATCAGGGCAAGTGGATTTGTGTACTGCACTCACAAGATGAGTTGACATACTCTTTAAGTTGGTGCTGTCCAATTGTAAACGAGCTCAGAACACATGCTGAACATTAACAATAGCTGCAATGTTATGTACATGCAAGCCAAATAGCTGTTAACATTCAATTGGGGATAGTATCATGAAGCCCAAAAGTAGAGCATGTTAAAAATGTTAAATGTGTTACACATCGATAATAGCACTAGACTTTTATCTGTTAGCTTTTTTTAATTAGTAATAAAATGCTGCAGGTTCAATCCCAGATAAGATCAACCAATGAACTGGACTGTGAAGTGAATCCTTATCATTACTCTGTCCTTGAGGACACTTAACTGCAGATTTAAGCTTCCTGGGGTGACTGTCCTTGCAATCAGCACACGGTAAGTTCACACTTTGGGATAATGAACATAGACTTTCTGACTGCCTGAATACACTTCTCCATAGTGGAAATAAAATGCATAATATCTCAATTTAGGTTTGTTAGAATAGCTAATACTTCTTAAAACACTGATTACAAGAAAACTAAGCAAGAAAACACCTCACTTTGGCGACATTAGAAGTAAAGGGTTTAATGATCAGGCAGGAACGAGCTTTCTGGGTTAGCGGAGCTAGCATCATTAACACACAATAGACTGAACTCACACAATCAAGGGTCAATCCTTGTTCAAGGATCAGCACACCGCCTGTCAGATTCAAGACAGCCCAATACAAACGCTCAGACTTGTTGGCAACTCGTGTCAAATGAGAACAAGCGATCTCAAAGGTTTAACCATTCAAAAGGATCTTGTCCCGTCTGACTCAAAATAACATAAAGTCAACTCTGGGTCATGCGAGAGATTCTCTCATCACAGGACTAAGATGCATAATGGATTATAAGCCCAATGGAAAAAAAAAATGGCGCAGAATAGAAAAATGATTATGTCGGCATGCACAATCTTGTCGGTTGTGCAATCTTGTTTAAGATAGGAGCAGATTATGGGAATTCCACAAGGGGATGAGAACCAGGGATGAGCCCCATTGCCAAATTATTTTCAGGTTTGAAAGGACCTTGTAAAGACATGAAAATGTGATCGCTTTTCAATTTAGCCTGGCATATCACCACTGCCAAAAAACATCCCATAAAAACAAGATCTTTTTATAATTGCAAGAGTTTCTCCTAAAAAAACAAGATGATTGAATGCTCGACAAATGGATGTCCCAATTCTTGTCAATCAAAGTCTGAGACGTCAACCATTTCTCAAGATTCTTCCAAGACCAAATTATCTGAGCTATAATCCTAATGCATGTTAAACAATCTTCTACATTTTCACTAAGGAATTGTAGGTGAAACATCTGAGGCAACGTTGAAGTCAACAGCACAATGAAAGAACAACTTCTTAGCAAAACAATGATCCTTTAGGAGTGTCCATCTTTCTACAATCCAAAGCGTTAATGGAAACTATGGATGGTACATTAACAGAATGTCACTGTCATCTTAATATCAACAGGAAGGCTCAGCATAAGAACTTGGTCTGTGTCGGTCTCTGGGTTTTAGCAACAGTTTGTCTTAATGTACTAAATAGCCATCCTACAAAGCTATTTTGGGAGTAATTGCAAGAAACACTTGACATTTGACCCATGAAGCAACTCACCGTGAAATGCAGGTTGCTCCGAAGCATCCCTGAGGGGTGGCAGGTGCCCGTAGGGTTGTACCCGCTGGTCCTGCTTCCCTGGATCTCCAAGACTTTCCCCTCCAACTTTGTGTGCTACCACATTGCCTCCAGGGTTGAGCAAAGGATCCTGGTCCTTGTTGAAGCCCAGGATGACATCTATGCTGTGGACACGAGTGCCCACCGCCGCGCCCCCCGCTTTGACCATCTCGTGGAAGTTACTGGGCAAAAGACAGCTGTCATCCACCATGTTCATGGTGTCCAGTGACAAATGCATTCGAATGCTGGGATGGGGCCGTACAACTGATAAAACCACTTGATCTGATGGAAGAATCCAAAATGGACTGGTTTTACCTGGTTGGAGACATCGAAGAGAGACTACAATCAACAAGTGCATTAAATAATGTATTAGAAGCCAAGTTCTTCACATTTCAGGTCAAATTCTTCATTAATATTAGTTTATTAGTGTCATTACTATGAATATTTATAGTTAGAATGAATAAGCTATTCCCCCAGGTATTAACGGTTTGGTTAAGCAAGTTTAGATAAGCTCTTCTAGTTCTATTTTTACAGATAATATAAAAATGTAAATATATATATATCATCCCAATTAATATACGTAATTAATAAACATCTAAGCATGTAATGACACAATCTTTTTTAATACAATAAATGTTTGACACATCAAAATAGACTAAAAATCAACAAGTGCACTAAAAAATTTCAGATTGATTTCTTCATTAACACGAGTTTATTAGTGTCTTAATGAGGTCTCATTTGCATTAATATTTATAGTATAATAGGCTAAGAAAGTTCAAATGAGCTCTATTACTTACACTTTCTTTTTTATTTACTTTTAAAGATAATGTAAAAAAAAAAGTTTAAAGGCAATATCACAGCATATAACAACACACAATATGTCTGCATTCTCAGAAAACCAGATTATCTAGGCATTTGACATATAGATATTTATATTAACATTAACATAACATTTAAATTTATAATATATTGATAATCTGACAAATGTGAAATTAATACATACATAATTCAGATTGAAATAACATCTAACCCCCAAAACTTAGTTTATATAGAAATGTTTTTAAATTGTTAAATATGAAAATAAATATTTATGAAACAAATTATGTTTATTAAATAAATGTTTTATATAAATATTAAATATTATTATATAACCATCTTATTGATTAAATGTTTATATTTATTATATCTACATTTACATGTATATAATAGCATATAGAAATATTATAGCAATTATATACATTTTAATATGTAATATCATGTATATTATCAAAACCCAAGAATGACATCTAATTGAAGTGTGCTTTGGAAGAAAGTTTCCCCAGCACAGAGTGACCGCAGCATGGGACGTACCTCTGACACGAGATGCTCCGTGCTCTTTCTGTCTCCAGTCTGACCCGCATCCACCTGTTTCTCCCTGCAGCGGGTCACATGCGGGTGATGAGCACGCCTCCATCTGCTACTGCACGCCCCGACTGACCTCAACTGCTCTCACTTTAAACGTGAAAACATACACGAATGCACAGTTCTCTAGTGGATTCCGCTGGACAGAGAGCTGGTGTGTGTGTGTGTGTGTGTCTGTCTGTCTCTTCAGAAGGGAAATAATAGCAGAGGATTACAGGAGCTCATTAATTGGGACTCTTCCCCCTTAAGAATGATTGACAGACGGTTTCTGCTCAAGTAATTGCTCTAAATGGAGCTTGAATTCACCCCACAGAAGGGGGCGACACTAATGAAGCCGTTTCTCATTCCTCTTAGAAAATTCAATTGTTTTAGCGACAAAAGGATGAACTGAAAGTTTTCACAAAGATCTTTCACCGGAAAGCTGTTACTGACATAAATACATAAAAATGTCTACAAAGAGAAAGTGTTTTGCCTTGCAAATGATAGAGCCATTACTAAATAAACAAATATTCAATCTTATATAAGAAAAATTAGTAAATAAATTATAAATATATTTTTGCAGTTTTATCATAAATTTTTCTTATATATAATATTACATAAAATTATATGTATTTTAAATATTTGTACTTTTTAATATGCTAAATAAATGTATAAATAATGTGATCAAATATTAATACAATTTACAATGATTATAATTTGTAAAAAATATATTAAATTTATATATTTGCGTATATTGACAAGATGACATGTAGAGCACATGTTGGCGTGAACTGCACGCTTCACTGATGGTATTACAGTAAATACTCAATACTATCACCTGTGGAATAATTAGCCAAGTAATTAAAGCAAACGACATGAGCGCAGACTCTTTTAAGAACTCATTAAAGAGTTAACCCAGGCAAACTCATGAGTGATCGGTGCTTATTAAGAGATATGACCTCGGAACAAGATTAACTTGCTCACGTTCAAATGAATCCATGTAAACAATCTTACTGCTTCCATTAACACGACTGTAGTAAATTACAACAGAGAACCTCAACATTATATATATATATATATATAATATATATTTGTGTGTCAAATACAGTACAGACTATAATTTCTATTAAACATACAATAGAAACATTGATTTGATTAAGCATCTCTGGCTTTTAGACATTTATTGTCTCTTCTTGGTATGTTGGGCTCAATCTTTGGTAGAAGTCTACATCTTTGATGGGCTAATCAGCGACACCTCCAATGAAGCTAAAGACACTGAAAATTTACTCTGACCTCAGTGAAGTCTTAAGATACTTTGAAGAAGCTCACCTAATGTATTTGTTTAGGGTCAGTGTTAGTGTACAGAAGTGAGATGAGATATGAAGAGTAAAGAGATGGTCTGAAATTTTGGTTAATGGACTGCATGAAAGTATGTCTTCCAAACAACCTCTCGGATCTCATTGAAATCTACAATACCTTGGATCAGCCAAACGTTACAGCCAGTGCAAGTGGCCAAAACCAGCCAACATGAAAGACCTCCAGGAAAGATTGACTTTAACCATATGTTTGCCTATATGTTGCCAGATAGATGTCTCTCATGAGCAAGAGTCAATCCTCAAAGGACAAGCTGGAGATAGGAAGTACCTGGAAAGCTTGAGCTTGAGTTTCATCGTACAGCTACATCTCACGTGCATGAGATCTCTGTTGGCTCATGACGCATTTGAGGATAATGGTAGTTCCTAGAAAGGAATGGGAATTAAAGGGATCATTACATGGATTTTTTTTATTTGTTCCTTGAGGTACACTTATAATGTTAATAAAGTTTTTTGCACAAATAAAATATATTTTCAACCCTCATTCTGACCCTTTGTCTAAAAATGATCCGTTTTTAAGGGGCGGGTCTTGTGTTTTGATTGGCTAACATCATTGCATACGCAACAGTATCAACACCATTTACAGACAAAGCATTATGAAATAATTTACTTATGGGTTGTGATGCAGCTGTAGTCAGATCCAGTACAGCTTCATCTTTTAACAAATGTTTCTTTGCAAACTCTCCATTACATTGTGCCTTGTAAGTTACAAAACAAAATGCTCCGAACAAACATGCAATTCTCAGACACGATCCGGAATGCCATTAAAAATAAACCATCCAGTTGTTACTGATGCTGAGATCCTTCTGAAGTCTGTTCAGAGGCATTAACGAGCTGTTTAAACGCATCAAAGAAAATGTTCTTTCACTCTTCCATTTGTCCTATTGTCGACAGACTCATTAAGTGCGTGGACTATGTCAGAAAGTGAATGCGCAACTGTGAACCGTATCAAAGTCCCTTTAAGGCATGTCACTCGCCGGCCATCTTTGAAACGCCTCTCGGGCATGCAAGTACAGCTCCTGTTTCTTTGAATGGGGAAACATCAAATTCTCCAAAACTGTTCGCTAAGCTTACGATTAAAAACAAACATGCAATTCTCAGACACGATCCGGAATGCCATTAAAAATAAACCATCCAGTTGTTACTGACGCTGAGATCCTTCTGAAGTCTGTTCAGAGGCATTAACGAGCTGCTTAACCACTTAAGCTCAGGGCGTTTTTTGGTATTTTCGCCTAAATTTAACATACTCAAATTCAAATGTTTACCCTGCACACATACAATGGAGGAAATGAAAAAAAATGGTT